CATTTTCTCCTTTTTTCTGTTTCTCTGGTTTATGTCTCTTTGCCTTCTTTGTCCCACTCTTTCTTACTTTTTCCTCTCCTTTGTTTTTAAAGCTTGAGTGTCTCTAGAAACAGCCTTCCCATCCCATTCTACACATTGTACATCCACTCACAAGGTTTCAACAGCACCTCTCTGCTGAGGACCCTCAGATCTCTCCAGGTGAGGTCTCTCCTGGGAGCACTTGGCTTCAGGCCTACATATGAAACTGCTCACTAGAAATCCCCACTTGTTTGTCTTCAAAATTCGTAATGTAATACAGTCAAGTTGAATTTATTATCCCCATGCTACCCCCAACCCATAACAGGCTTACCAGCTATTTCCCACAGTCTCGGAACCAAATTGTTAATTTCCTATCTCAATGGCAAGAACCACTTTCCCCCTAGACACTCACCAGAAAGCCAAGCGTTGGCCTTTTCACCGCCCTCTGTCTTCCCACCACATTCGATCAGGTTTCAAGTCCTATGGAGTCTGCTTCCCTGACATCTCCTAAACCTACCCCTCTTCTGCATCCCCTTCACCACCACCCCTTCCAGGTCTTGTAGGGATTACCCTACATGCTCTCCATTTCATCCCAAACACCCTGACCTGCCTTTCTGTGGCCACCAGAGTCATCTCTGTATAATGCAAATCTAAGCAAATCTTCAGTGGTCCCCAGGTTATTTTAGCATACATTTATAAGCTGCTTCTCATGGCACATAAGGTTTTGCATTTCTCTCCAGCCCCATCTCTTGCTATAGCCATGCTTAAGCACTTTGGGTTCCACACACGCGCGCTACTCTCTGTCCCCGAAAGAGTGCCTTTTATACCTCTATCTGCCAGGAACATCCTTCACCCACTTCTTTGTCTGATTAAGTCTTACACACTCTTCAAGACTCAGCTCAGAACTTCCTTCAGGAAGACTTTTGCATCAGCTTGTACGTTTTCAGCTTCAACTAACAAAATATCAAACTAGATATTTATTATAGTATAATTGAGAGGTTATTATTCCCCTGCAATTTCAGAGCTAGTTAACTTAGCAGCTGAGCTCTAGGCTGCCTTTTCTTTGTCTTGGTTTTCCCCATATGATCTCAAAATATATACCTTGCCTCCAAACATCAAATCCACACAAAACCACACCCAAAGACAGAAAAAAATAAGAGCTTCCCCTTGGACATCTCTCTTTTTTATCAGAGAAGAAAATCTTTCCCAGCAGGCTTCTCTTCTGGTCCCATTGAGTAGGTCCAGGTCACTAGCTCACCCTAAACCAAAGGGAGAAGCATTACTATGGTTTATCGGTGACTGGTGGAGAAGCCCCTCTACTCTGAGTGCCTTCTGCCTCATATGGAACAAAGTTCAGGTTCTATTGACAAGAATGAAGGAAGGAAATGGTGGTGAATGAATGAAGGAAATGGTGGTTAGGTAGGTTTCTGACAGTCTGGGCCATGCCTCCTCTCCTAGAGTTCTTTGCTCATCCCTCCCTCACCAGAATGAATTAGGTTCTTGTCAAGTACTCTGTCATTGTGCTTTCCAAACTGTTCTGCAGTGTTGACTTAGTTATCTGTCTCCTTATACTGACCTCCATACAGTTTATTCATATTTGGTTCCTCAACACCCAGCAAAGACCTAGTGCAGTGCTCAATAAAAATTAATGTTTGAATGATGGAGTGATTTAATTAATTAATTAGTAACATGTCCAGGACAATTTCCACATGGTTTCATTAATCCTAATAATTTGACCCATCTATATAGTGATAGAAAAAAAAAAAACAGACTGACATATGACCATACAGTTTGTGCTGTTTGCTCCATGCAAGTTCTATTGTTTTATTGCTTTTGTAGCTCAACCCTATGGTTGGTTACCTTCTGCTCCCTCTGCAGCAGCAACCAAATGACCACTTTCTTCATTAAACAGAGTCAATGTCTCGTGGCCCCCAAAAGGACCATGCTGGGGCTGAGCCATTTTTTCTATTACTCTGTTAGTGTCTGCCAAGCCAGCAGGAATCAACACCATCTGTCAGCTTACCATCTTTGGGGTGGAACTTCAAAGGCAGTGTTTCTTTTTCTGGGTCAAGTTGACCTGTAACTTTCATCTTCTTTATACTAACCCTCCATCTGTAGAACTGCATCATCTCTGCAAAGTGGCCAACAGCGTCTCATCCAGTGCCTTAGCAAATATTTACTGAGGGAGCTAGTGAATGAATCATTTAACTGACTTATATATAATCTTCAAAAACAGCCATAGCAGACAACAGTTCTTATTTAAAAGGTATGTGCCACAGTAGAAACTTTTAAAAATAACCAAAGCAGCACCTTTTATCAATGTTGGCATTCTGTTCGCAAACTAATTACCACCTTATGTAACTGACCTTATTAAGGGATGTTGACACCTTCTTAAGTTATCTTTGGAAACCAAAATCAAACCCAAATACAATTATGATCTTGCCAGGTTCAAACACTGCCGTTTTGATGTGGCCAGAATTCCCTATTGAGTTCAGAAATCCAACTCAAATCCTTAAGTTGGAAGAAGGAGGGATGTGAATCAAATCAATAAATGAATAATGAATAAAATGGCCATTAATTAACTTAGGCATGAAAATAAAAATAGAAGTGTCAACTGAAGCCTGCCCTGGTAATCTTCTAACGTAGGATAAACATTAGTTGGTTGGTGGAAAATTTGTTTTTGGCATTTGTATAGAAGATGGCTCCTTAGCAAACCAAAGAACTACAGAGCGATGTCATGTCAATATGCCACGTGACGGTAAGCATTTTCCCTGTGGCGGGAATCACAGCCAGCGTACTGGGGGATCCCCTCAGCACAGTCGAAACATCAAATAGAACGCTCTGTTAGAAGTTAGGGTCCATGAAAACAGAGTCATGGACTCATGCCCCAGCCTGCCCAGGCAGGAGTATATCTTGACACAGGTCCCGTGAACGGGACTTGCCAGAGTTTCGGTGAGACCCAGACGTCAGTCTAGCCACTAGGTGTGGTACCTCCCGCTGGGACAGGGACAGCATCCTCATGAGGACGTGTGCTGGCACAGCCTCAACAATTCAGTGGCTGGAAATGGAGCTTATTTGGCACAATATGTAAACCAACCTATGAAACAAAGGAACAACTACCAGCAAACATTGCCTATCACAACAAACCAAAGGCTAATCTTAGCTCACCAAGGTCATAAACTCCTAGAGGGCGGAAACAGCTAGACGGTGGCAAAGAGCATTCACAAATAATATTAAGGTTGGGCTGACTCTGAAATACATGTTCAGAAAATTGTCATGTGAGATGCAAGCTATTATACGTAGAATGGATTAACAACAAGGTCCTACTGTATAGCACAGGGAACGATTTTCAATATCCTGTGATAAACCATAATGGAAAAGCCTGTGAAAAAGAATGTGTGTATATATATATATACATATATATATGTATAACTGAATCACTTTGCTGTACAGCAGAAATTAATACAACACTGTAAATCAACTATACTTCAATAAAATAAATTTTAAAAAAGAGAAAATTGTCCCACAAAGATGAGCTTTAGAACTTGTTTAATCCAAACTCCTCACTTAAGAAATCGAGTTTTAAAGAGGGGAAATGACTTGCCTGATCTCACACGGCTTTCTCTGGGAGTGTTAGAACTGGACTCCTGGACCCCTAACTCCAACTGAGGGCTCTTCCCACTTTAACACTGCACCCTAAAGCTCCTACCACAGTGCCCTGCGTACAGTTGGCTTTCAACCAAACTTGATGAATAAACCATGTCTATCATGATTGTGTGTTAGCAGGGGCAGATCCTGGTTATATGGGGCTTAACACATAGAGTTTGGAGGAAGGGACTTCTTTAAGAAAAATCATACAAAATGAGGAATATAAAATGTGGTACAAAGGTGACTATTTCTTCAGATTGAGAGAAGAAAGTTTAACAAATTACAAACATAACAAAGTTAACAACACAAGTGTTACAAAATCCATAAATGTAAGATAATATTCTTATGAATGAACTGCCTGGCACGTCTCTGTAATACTTTCTTGCCCAATAGTTTCTGGCGCAATACTCTCTGGTTAACTCTTCATATAATAACAACTGTGTAATCTTCTCCACAGAGAGAATAGAAAATTTACTCTTTCTTCTAACAGAAAAAAAAATTTATTTATTGTTAACAGTTTAGAAGAGTTACTTTGAGCTTCACGAGTTCTTACTGGCGATTTGACATTAATTTTTAAGGTTTTCAAACCTGGGAAAACTCTAATCTAGTTGCTTTCATAAGAGCTGCAGGATTTCAGGACATTTCTTGGTTACTCTTAAATACTTTTAGAATTCATGACACATTCATCAGAGAAAATGCACTTTAAAATGGCTGCTAATCCCACTACTGGGCATATACCCTGAGAAAACCATAATTCAAAAAGAGTCATGTACCAAAATGTTCATTGCAGCTCTATTTACAATAGCCCGGAGATGGAAACAACCTAAGTGTTCATCATCGGATGAATGGATAAAGAAGATGTGGCACATACATACAATGGAATATTACTCAGCCATAAAAAGAAACGAAATTGAGCTATTTGTAATGAGGTGGATAGACCTAGAGTCTGTCATACAGAGTGAAGTAAGTCAGAAAGAGAGAGACAAATACTGTATGCTAACACATATATATGGAATTTAAGGGCAAAATATGTCATGAAGATCCTAGGGGTAAAACAGGAATAAAGACACAGACTTACTAGAGAACGGACTTGAGGATATGGGGAGGGGGAAGGGTAAGCTGTGACAAAGCGAGAGAGTGGCATGGACATGTATACACTACCAAACGTAAGGTAGATAGCTAGTGGGAAGCAGCCGCATAGCACAGGGAGATCAGCTCAGTGGTTTGTGACCGCCTGGAGAGGTAGGATAGGGAGGGTGGGAGGGAGGGAGACGCAAGCGGGAAGAGATATGGGAACATATGTGTATATATAACTGATTCATTTTGTTGTGAAGCAGAAACTAACACACCATTGTAAAGCAGTTATACTCCAATTAAAAAAAAAAAAAGAAATAGCTTCATCTTGCTAAAACGTTTAGGATTTGATAATTTGAGAGAAAAAATAGGAAATCCTGAAAGTACTTACTCTCTCCTTGTTTAATGGACAACACATGGGCTCCTGACTGAGCGATGCTTCCTCTTGCTTTGATCTGAAGGCAGAGGGAAATACATGTATTATCATTTTAAAGGGTACTTATTAAACTTACTTAAACATATGTATAATACACAAATAAATAACTCACTACTTCCAAAAAAAATGGCTGCTATATTTCAATGAGCTACATAATTGTACAATAAATTAGTCGTATGCTACACAATGATTCAAAGATGAATATGTGTCGTTTTGTTCAAGGGGTACACTTGTATCTTCAGCCTGTTTCTTGCATGCTGTTTCGTCTGGAATCGCCAGACTTCCTCAGGACAATTTATATTAGATTCACAAAAACATGATCTGACATGCATGCAGAAAACACAACTTTGCATTCAGAATGGACTCAACATTTACAGCATTGCTAGAGGATTGGGTCCCACAAACATAAGAATTCAGATGAAATTCTACTTTATGAGACTCCCATTACAATATTTAAAAATGTAAGGAGTGGGCTTCCCTGGTGGCGCAGTGGTTGAGAATCTGCCTGCTAATTCAGGGGACACGGGTTCGAGCCCTGGTCTGGGAGGATCTCACATGCCACGGAGCAACTAGGCCCGTGAGCCACAACTACTGCGCCTGCGCGTCTGGAGCCTGTGCTCCGCAATGAGAGGCCGCGATAGTGAGAGGCCTGCACACCGCGATGAAGAGTGGTCCCCGCTTGCCACAACTAGAGAAAGCCCTCGCACAGAAACGAAGACCCAACACAGCAAAAATAAATAAATTAATTAATAAACTCCTACCCCCAACATCTTCAAAAAAAAAGGAAAACCACAGCTTTAAAAAAAAAAATGTAAGGAGTGTTTATTGGTGTACACCCTACATTATCGAAGTATAGCTCTGACAGAAGAGAACTTCCTTTTTGACAAAGAGTTGATGGGCAGCAAAGTCTCCAATTACAATTTTACACATCTGGTGATTCAAAGACTTCTTCACAGACTAGAGTCTGGATACACTTCAAACCTTGTTTCTTTTCACCTTCCTCCTAGTGTCAAGACTGGGCATTGAAGGACACACGTGTGTCATGGGGCAGCCTCTGGCACAGTGAGCGGGGTGGGGGGGAGAATTTCAGAAAGTCATCTACACTAGGAGATCTAGCAATAACTTCACTATACATGCAAGTGACTGAAGACCACAGAATTATATGCCACTAAACCAAACTAAGTGTATCTCCAAGTTTACATCCTCTTAGCAACATCCCTGAAAGTTCAGGCCATGATAAAGTCACCTGACCCAAGGCAAAGTCAGAGAGGAAAAAGATAGTACTCTTAATTGATTGTGGTGAAAATACCATTTTGAAATTTTTACAAAAACTTATAATTATGTGAACACAAATCTGGAGACCCTCCTGTGCCCTTGGAATGGGCCTTATAAGTGAAGGCCCTTGAAGTGGAAGCTTTATGGCCTCTTCCGTCTTCTGGTGGTTCCTAGGAACCCTTGGCATGCTTCAGTCTCTGCCTGCAACGTTGTGTGTGTCTGTGTGTGTGTCTCTGTGTCCTTTCTCCTCTTCTCATAAAGACACCAGTCATATTGGCTGAGGAGCCCACCCTAATCCAACGTGACATCTTCTTAACTAATTACATCTGCAACATCCTTACTTCCAAATCAGGTCCCGTTCTGAGGGACTGGGAATTAGGACTTCGACATATCTTCTTTGGGGTACACAATCAACCCGGAACAGAAAGGACACAGCACTCTCCTCGCTATGCATTAACCAGCTGTGTGGTCCTAAGCAACTCAAACTTGTGATTCAACAAACATCAGTTAGCACCGAGCACGTGCTAGGCATCCCCAGAAAGGAACGATCAGGCAGCCACTCTTACTGAGCCCCCAGCCTGGGAGAGAGACACGTGAACTAACAACACACCACAGGCTTATGGTCGCTTTATTGCAGGCACATATGCCTGGGGAGATCAGCCCTCTGAGAAGAGAGCCCACAAGCACGAAGGTTGGACGGTTTCTGCAGAATGCGGTCTATTTGAATTGTTTTTAAGAATGACTGGATGGATATTCGCCAAATGGACAAGAGAGGGGAAGAAATTCCAGGCAGGAGTAATGGTGCATGAAAAGGCTTGGGTTAATGGGAAATCATATGTTCAGGGAGAGTTTTGTGTAATTTTGTACACAAAATTGGAAGCAAAGCAGTACTTGACAGATTAGGTCAGAAAAGTAGAGGGAGCTGGCATGAAAGCCTTATAAACCATGATAAGGAGTCTGGTCTTTATTGTTTAGAGGGAAACAAGAGAAGTGTGGGAAGGAAAATAAAGTGGTTGGATTTGCATTTCAGAGAGATTGCTGTGGCATCAGTGTGGAGGCTGGGTGAGACAGAAGAGGACAGAGACCCTTCTGGGGATATGCAGGTTCACATCTTCTTTAATCTCCTCAACAACACTTGAAAGCTGTAGGAACTGGAGCCCAGAGAGGGGAAGGAACCCTCACAGCTCAGCAGCAGGCGAATGCATGCTTGGTTCATAGGCTCAAACCACAGCTGTGGTCCAAGGAAGAGGCAACCAGAGCCTGATCCAAGGCAGGAAGAAGATAATGAGGAGAGGACAGACTCAAAGGATGCTTAGAACTAGATTCCCATATAGGTGTGGAGTAAGAGAAAAAGGGAAGAAGTCCACTGCCTCCTTGAGTCTTATTTGCTCATTTCTCATGGTCCTTACAACCTGAAGTCAAGTGATCACCTATGACAGAACACCTTGAGGAGATGAAAATGCACAAGACCACCTGAGCATCCCCTTGAAGGAGCAGTTTGGTTTTGTCTCCCTGGCCTCTCCTCCTGGAGTCCTTACACCATAATAGAACTAAACGGTTCATTCCAGGGATCAGCAAGGAAAAGGGGAAATTCCAGGGAGGAAGGATGAGGGCAGGAAGTAGTCCAGTGCCTTGGAAACAGGGGTGTGTGTGTGTGTGTGTGTGTGTGTGCACGCACACGTGAACCAGAGTTAAGAGAATCAAGGCTTTTCTTTTCTCTTTGGCTTTTCTTGGGTTTTTTGTTTTTCTTGTCCTTTCCTTTTTTACCTTTTTTCTTTTCTTCTCTTTTCTTTCCTCAGGTCTATTCCTTTGTGGGGCATTCTCTAAAAGACCTTGGGTGAAGTATCTTCCCAGACACTAGTCTGAGTGTGAAGAATCAGGCTCCCCAGATCCCATAAGGTAGGGAGGACCTCAGGGAGTGGGCTGGGACTCCTACTGGCCCCACCTTTGGAGCTGCTTAACATGTATACCTTACTAATTATCTATTCCAATACATATGTAACATGCATCATATTAACCCTATTATAAGGTTTATGAAATTGTGGTCATCAATCATCTTCACAAATCCTCAATCTTTTTATTTGTTGCTCAAACATTCATCTACTCACAAATGTTAAGAACTGGGGAGCTTCCGTTTTTATCCTGCCTTTTTATTCCTTCATGCATCTATAAGTCATTCTTCATTTATCAAATGTGTATTAAGAAACTTCTGTGTGCTATCCTAAGATTATGAAAATAAAACCATACTATAAAACAGCATAAAATGTGAATTTAGTAGAACATTCATGCTCCTGTATAAATGTGTGTTAGGCGTTACTGCGTCTTCTCTTTTATATGCAAAGATGAGAGCACTAGCCTGCCATCAGTGATGTATATACTTTGAGCTGCTTTCTGGGTACGGCATAGGGTGCCGGAAAACACCCCTTCCATGCCTCAGGCTCTCTGTGATCCTGTGCAGTGATTGTGTTCTGAGACTCCACTCACTCATATACTCCAGGCTTGAGTCTCCACATACAGTGGTTCTGATGACTTCTAATTCATGTAAATGTTAGGGTTGTCTCCTTTTATTCTGCAAAAAGTACCTAAAATACCTTTCTTTTAACCATAATGGTCAACTGGTAATGTATGCTGAAACCATTGATTTCCCAAATATAGCGCCTGCATTTAGCACTGAGAATAGCCCTTTAATTACTACAAAACCAAACAATATTTGGAGAAGCTTGCACATTGGGGTGCAGCAGATGCTGGGGCACAGGGACTCTGGGTGCAGGTCCAGCGTAGCAGGCAGACCCTCGTCATGTGGAAAACTAGACCCAGACAACAGGGGAGTCAGCACACGGATGCATGGCCAAAGCACAGGAAAAAGGCATCTCAAAATAGACAACACTCCAAAACAGGCAGGCAGTGGGGCTGAATGAAGGCTTTCTGCAGGGGCAAGAGGCAGGCCTTCAGATGGGAGTGAAAGGACAGCTCGCATCAGGGGGACAGAAGAGGGCAGCGATAAGAAAGGTTGACTCTGGCAGACAGACCTGGGTTTGAATCCTGGTCCAGCCACTACGTAACTGGAGAAGACTGCTGGCGGATTCCATACCTGACTCTCTTCTTTCTGAGCACGCGTCCTTTGCAGTTAGTTGTGGCCATGGGACTGCATTCTTGCCAATGCACCGTGAATGGAAGCCGTTTGGATTGGCACCTTAGCATTTCCCACACCCAGTCCTCCATTCTGCCACCCGCTTGCAGTGACCTTGGTATTGAGAGGCAATACTCTAAGATGGATGGGGCCTCTGAATCCCTACCTGGAGGAAAGGCCTGGCCAGTCAGGAACACCTGCCCTGGATTTCAGGTGAGCAAGAAATACATTTCTACCTTAACTAGTACAACTTAGACAAGTTATGCAGCCTCTCTAAAACTCATCTGAAACCTAAGAGGAATATTAATTAAATGATTTCCTATCATCCTGCACAACCTGGACCCTCCTTCCCAGCCATCTTCCTGTGCCATTTCTTCACTCCACAAAGGTGCGCTCACACATGGCTGCTACCTGGGAGGGGTGCACCTTGGCCATCCTATTTCATCCTATTTTCGTGCCACCCACCACCATTTTTCTTCTAAGTTTACTTCCCCCACCTCAAGTTCCTTTGACAGATGTGTATACCCACCTCCTGCTTTAATTTCCTTCTTGGCATTTATTACTATCTGATTTGTTTGGTTGTTTGTTCATAATATCTCCACCATTAAAATAAA